TAAGTCGTCTCGCAGTCGTTTCGTTCTGTTGGCGGATGACAGTCAGAACAAACGAAACCATTGAGCAACTAATGGTCTTTCAATTGACCCAAGCGCTGAAGTACCAAAATATACTATAAACTGCCAACTTGTCCCAATTTATAATAATAGAACACCAATTAATACTGTACTTCTAAATATTCGGTTACCATATAGGAAATTTGTCACGTTTGTGTTAAAACTAAAAAAAATAAAACATTCTAAAATAATAATTTGGAACTCTACTCACTTTGTAATAACGACATTTTCGATCCTCTTTTAATTAATAATGAATCCTATGCTGATCAAATTACAAATAAATTACATACCAAATGTTTAAAATTTGTATGGGAAGAGTGTTATTATTATTGTTTATGCTAAATGACAATTGTTATTAATGTCTAACTAATAATTTATTCAGTTTTTAATCATAAATACTAAATTAATATTAATTCTTGGACTTTTACTTAGTTACTCTTTATGTAGTGTATAAGTTACAGTCCTAATTGTTACACAGGCTATATTTATAGTAATGTGTGAATTTTTAATAGGTATTGAACTATTTATTTTAATTTGTGAAGCAAATTTGGCAACATTTTAAGATTATTTATATATATATATATTTTTTTTTTAATGCTTTAATTTAATATCCCGGCAGACAATTTAAAGTTGCGCGATTACTTTTTTTATTGACTTCTTAGTAATTTTACAATTATTTCAATCTTTCACGAGGTTTAGAAGAAATAATCCGATGGAAAATGTTCGAATTTTAAGCTATTGCAGTGAAATTCTTGGAAAACGAAAGAAATGCTAGAAAACAAGCAAGGCTGTCCTGGTAAATGTCTGTTGCAGCCACAAAACATGTTCAATAAGAGGAAACGTCCTTAAAGTGTTCAATGTTCAGGTTGTCCACACAGCGAGTATACAAATTGAAATTAAATAATGCCACACAGTGTACCTGGCCAATGCTCAGAGAGAAATAGAGAGAGAGAGAGAGAGAAAGATATAGAGGGGAGATATATATTAAGAGAGAGAGGGCAGAGTATTTTTGGAGCAACGCAGCAGTCTAATTGAACTAATAGAATTTGTTTTTTATTCACACCCGCACGCGTCAGATAAGAGCAGCTTTGGGGCATTATTAATGGTGAGGTCCACAACAGCAGCAACAACAACAACAACAATAACAGGAGCAGCAGCAGCAGCAGCAGAAAAATATGTTTCAAATATATACGTTGGGACCCTGGACGCTGTTCACATTAAAAAATATGATTTTTCTTTCCCCATTTTACAGGTTGCGGGTGGGGGGAAGAGGAAATGCTGCCAAATGTAATCATTGCTGCTTTTAGCTGGGTGCCAAATGCCCAAGGCACAGCTACATGCTGTACTTAACTGATTTCCGGGAATCGCAAGACGCTTACACACAAATACACACACACACACACACAAGCACGTACCACGAAAGTCCTTCGGAACTTGAGCTGGAATTGAGGGAAGCGGAAAAGCGCGCAGGATGTTGCCTTGGCGACCAGCAGCGAGAGCAATCAGTTTAAAGCTGTCGAGAATTCTCAATGATGGCCATAAAACGAACAAAATTGCTATAACAGTAATGCGTTGCAGGCATACATGCATGTATGCGAATGGTCTACTTTAACATATACTACACATTCAAACCCACACACACACACACACACACACACACACACACACACACACACACACAGCGCTTTTGGTCGGGCTCAAGATTTCGGGCAGCCTTAGGCGAGGCTTAAAAGCCGCAAAGGCGCCACAAGGCAATGTTGCTTTAGTACACGATCCCAAAGACCCAAGACGCCAATCCCTCACATAACCGAACACAACGCAACGCAACATAACACAAAAACCACTTGGTGGTGCTCTGTGGCGCCTGTGGCTGTTCTTGTGAGCTCGTCATAGCTATAGTCATATCCATAGTCATAGTCATAGGCATAAGCATCGGCATCGGCATCGGCATCGGCATCGGCATTGGCATAGTCATAGGCCCAGGCACTCTCAAACAGTCAAGAGCAGCGCCAAATGCCGGCGCAGCAGAACCGATTTGCTGTTTGTGTAGTTAGCGGCAGCAAACAACAACAGCAAACAACAAGAACAACAACAACCACAGCAGCAGCAGCAGCAGCCGGGTCAGGAGAAAGACGAAGGTGGCACTCAGCTTGTTATTTCAAATGTTTGATGTTGCTGTTGTTGTTGTTGTGGCAGCCAAGTAACGCCTGCTTGAGATGTCAAATAGCAACAACTGCAAAAACAGGAAGCACTTGAAAATTGAAATCAAGCGCAGGGCGCCACCAACGCAACAGCAAAATCAAGAAGTGTGCTTAACCAAAAATAAAGCAAAAACAAAAATAAAATACAAAATTCAACAACAATGGCAACGCAGCTGAGCCCAAAAGGTCCTCCAACGCAATTTGCATATGAATATAGAGGGCTCAGAGGCAGCTTTTGGGTTGCTCCGCGGCACGCGGCTTACAATAACAACAGCAGCAGCAGCAGCAGCAGCAGCAACAATAGCAAATGATATGTTGTTTGCAATATGAATAAACCAGCAACAACAACAAGAGCAACAAGAAAAACAGAGCATGATGTGAGAGCTGCTGTTTCAATAGCTTATGTTGTAGTTATTTGCCGCCGGTAAAAACAAAAGCACCAAGTGCAAAAGATCCCGGCTAAAAGATACACTCTATGCAATGCGTGATTATAGTAAAAGCCATAATAAACTAGTTTTGGGCACGCTGTGGAGAGGGTAAGCCAGTTGCCTGTTGTACACTTTTCCCATCGACATTGTGTTAATTTGGGACAAAATGTGAAGAAGATAACCATATTTTAAAGGCCCTAATTACTTAATATTTACTTAATGGATATCGCTCATTCAGTTCATAAAATTTACATATTAAGTCAATTTCGCACTTTTAGTTCCCAAGATTGTCAAGGATGTAGTCTATTTGACTGGGGAACTATTAATTACTTTGAAATATGCGTGATTTATGGAAATAAGCAGATTAGATAGAGCTTTCTTCCTAAAATTAGTTGTACCTTTAATATAATCTAATCCTTTCGCCCAGCTCTAGGAACTTAATATTTCCAAGTTGATAGCCTTGTTGAATCCACTAAGCAAGCGAGTCGAGTTATATACAGAGAATGTTTACATATTGTCCACAGCAGGAGATCAATGCTTACTCATACAAAGTATAATTTTACTGTATTATTACTATTATTATTATCATGTGTATGTTTTCCAAGTGGTGCCTGCTTAGGTTTGTGTACCTCGCTAGGGACCTGTTTCCTAAACACTAAAATTAGTTGATTTATTACCCATGAATGTCTTAAAATGCTGTTCATTCTCGAACACTTTATACAGTTGAGGCATAAATATTTAAACCCTTGCAGGTCATTTAGTAATACATCTCGAGTACTTTTACTTCTACAAATAGTAGAAAGATATAGTTACTAAATTAGCTCTGATGGCTTACATATTTGTATATAGTTAAATGTCGATAAGAAAGGCAGGCGAGCATTATTACGACCAATTAGCCAATTTAGAAAGGTGACAAGTTTTTTAATATTTGATTTCAATATTTGCTTAGTAAATGAGAAAAACCTATACAAATCCAATTAGCTCTAGCTTTCTGTTGCATAGATTTGCATTATTATTCTGCTTATGCCAAAGGGTATATGGAAATCGTTGCATGCATTCTTTTAGTGGCATTTGTTGCTGTGGCTCGGCTCCCTAGTTGCCTCGGCTTTGGTTGCCTGTCAGTAGTGGGCGCTAGATGGCGGGGCTAAATTGAATAAGCGGCCAGCGGCCTCACAGGACAGACAGGAAGCTAAACAACAACATAGACCCACCCACCCACCCACCCACACACACACACACACACACGCATGCATGTGTTCGCCTGTATGTAACGGCTAAAAGTTATGTAGTGTACTCGAGGCTACCTTCCTTTATGGGTGCTTGTTTTTCTTTGCTTTTCCCTCGTTTTTTCTTTTTTCATTTTTTTTGGGTTGCTTTGAATTTAATGGAAAATTTATTGACGACACGCCGCTTAGTCGTTTGACTTGGACTTGGTCTTTTGCCACATACTCGCGCCACACACACACACACACACCCAAACCCCCTTACCATCATTGCTAAGCTATTGCTGTGCTATCATGTGTGCAAAAGTTTTCACATTGGGGTTTTATGAACTTGCCCATGCCCTGGACTTTTGATTTCGAATCAAGTAGTTACGGATTTCGAGTGTGTGTGTTTGGTTGAAAAAAGGTTGCATGGCAAATTGTTTGCATTGATTGATTGTTAAATACTTTCAGTCCTGCTGCTGCTGTGGGTAATTTCACAACGGTTAAATCTTCAAAGCAAACATTTGAAGTCTTGTATCGCAGCAGGGTCGTGAGAATCGAACATGCTGTCTATCTGTGTGTGTGTGTGTGTGTGTGTGTGTGTGTGTGTGTGTGTGTGTGTTACAAGGCAAGGAGTTACATACATAAATACATATTTAATCGTGTTGCGCACTCCTTGCAGCTTGTTCACTTACCATAAATTAGAATTATAATTTCGCTTAGCCAAATCAACGACGCAATAAGCCAGCAGCAATGGCACACACACATGCGAAAGGGCTATTCCCAGTCAAAGAGCGTACCAGAACGGATCAACCCCCAAAAAACAACGGGGAAAAAAATTCAAGCCAAGGGTGGCAATATTCGTAGTTCATAGCTACAAATTTGGGCTGTAAGCCAAAAAATAGAAAAAGAAAAAAACGAAAAAAGCAAAAAACAAAGAAACTTTTCTCGCGTGTTTTAGTAACTTTAATATTTTATACTAGCCATTTCTTTCTGAAGCGAACTCAACAAGTTCTCCGGTGCTACTTGGCTAAGAACACGCCCGCACATTTTTGGCCATTAGTTTATGATTGTTGAGAGTTTGGCAAGGGATTCGTTCAGTTACTCACCTGTTGTCGGCAACTTGGTCAGCAGCGTCGGTTGTCCATTGTCATCGGTCGTCGTCAGCAGCAACAGCAGCAGTATTTCAATTATTATAATCACAAAAATGCGTCGATTGTAAAACAAAAACATTGCAATCTCGCGTTAATTTCCCCGTTGGTGTTTCTCTTCCAGTTTCGGGCCAGTTAGCCGCTATCGCAATCTCTATTTTATACTTCTTTGTAGCTCGATTATTATTTTATTTTTTATTTATTTATTTTTTTTTAACACAAACCGGCAGCTCCTCTTCACGTAGTCTTCGTCGCTTCTTACTTCTTCATTCGCATTTTTTATGGTCTTCTTAGGCGCATCTTCACATTTGGGTTTCTTTTTTATGCATTTTGTGCACCAATACACACGCACACACGCAGCTTACATTGTTTATGTGCGTCACTTTCACGACTCTTCCTGTTACCTTCAAGCACAAGAAAAAGCAACGGATTTTTTTTATATATACCGACACACACACACATGCAAACAACAAGCAACAAACAACAAACAAAATGGCGAGTCGTTAGGCATCCGCAAAAGTATGCTAATATATTTTAGCTATGCTGGAGAAACATGCGTAAATATTTGACATGTGCAACAGTGCGTATACGTAATCTGTTTAATAGGCCGCAAAACTCTGCCATCGCCAGAGGCGCCACCATCAAAACGTCATTCGTTGTCATCACGAGCTTATGTCAAATTGATGCGAATTCCTTTACCTAAACGTCAGCTGACTGTTTTCAACACTGAATGTGCACAAACTCAAATTATGGCTACTATAAAAATTGTACAATGTATTATCTCTTAGAGATGATGAGCTCATAAAAAATATCCTTAAGCTGTCTCAAAGCTTTCATCCCAAAATATATATATATATTGGATATGCTCCAGGCAATCGGAGGAAACAACTGAAGTAATTGTTTGAATATTTAATGCTCGAGAATATTTAGAATCAGCATATGAAAACTACATTAATATCTATATGCGTATTAGTAATAAAAAAATGTTTGCTTCGTTTTTAAAATGTTTAGTCTATTGCAGTATCAAACTCACTAAAGATCAGTATAAAACGATTGCTGCTGTGAGTGGAAAAAAAAAGAAAATACTCGATGAGTAAGCTAGAAATATTGCCAAAATGCGCACATTTAAAACCACTTCATTTTTTGGCATGTTTTTCTCGTTTCTGGGATTTGTCTTGAACTCCATTTTTGGCCTTATCTTGGCTCCGTTTTCAGCGTCTAATACAAGTTGTGTTCGCCGATTGTCCTCGTTGCGCGACAATCTGTGGCAATCTATTGCGCTTGCTTTAGTCAGTTACCCACTCCTGCGGGCGCATCAAGAAGCTCATCATGATCATAATGCGACGCTGCGACGATGGGACGGAGCGGCATATGATGATGATGCCATAACAGGCTGGGCACATTTCAATTTCACAACCAATTCGAAAGACAACACAAGTACCCAAAGTGCGCGTGTTTCTATAAGATACATTTCTAGCTAGAATTGTGCATGAATTTGCGCGGCAAAAAATAAGAAGCAAAAAAAAAAAATGAATCGAATGAAAACGTCGCATAAATGAATGCTAAAATATATTTTGGGCAACGCTGACATCGCCATTAGTGTTGTTGTAGTTATTGTGGTTGTTGTTGCTTCAACTACTATCAAAGGCTTTGCAAAGAGACGAAAAGAAAAAAAGTACAAATAAAGCAGATGATGACGCCGACAGCGGCAGCGACGGCAGTTGCGGCAGCGGCGCTGACGTAGCAGCCAATATCAAAGCTTTACATACGCATCTCTTTGTGTGTGTGCGAGAGTGTGTGTGTGAATGTGTGTGACAGTATCTGTTGCAGCGGCATTTGTGGCTATTGTTAAACTTTTTTACACAATATTATATACACATTTCTACAAATTTTATGGATAAACAATAAAAAAAATGTCAGAATATTCCACTATTTTTTTTTTTTGTGGTTGTCAGTGCTGAAATGTAATATTGGTTTTTATTGCGTAAAGTTTTTGGCTCATTGTTTAAAACTTGTATTTATTGCCATAACCACGCATTTATGTGTTTGAAAAAGTTTTTAACAATAAGCAAACAACGATTTTCACGCTGGTCTTTTGCTGCCAGCTAAAAGCACTAAACCAAAAGAAAAAATAAAATTTCATGCTCAATTGAGAGATAAGGAGGAAAGAAGCGCAACGGAAATCATATCGGGGTAGTTGAGAATTATATAAAACAAATTTGACTATGCGAAATACAAACACACACAAAGAAGCGGGCACACATACACACAAACACACACACACAGACACGCATGGATAAAAGTTTGTTTTGTGCTGCGGCTGCGGATGCCGGTCGAAATTGAACGACGACGCAAATTTCGATTTCCTCGAAATTCTACCTTGTTGTGCCTTCTATTATGCTTATTCTTATTCTTCGTGTTCTTGCTACTTCATCATCGCCATTCTCACTCACATTCTTCATCATCTTCAGCGACGCTAAGCGTCATATACATTTTGCACTTTTGTTTGCAAAACGACAACAGCAGCAGCGGCAGCGGCACCAGCAGCAGCAACACAGCTTACTAAGCTTTTTCTGAGCATCCACATTCGCATCAACAGCAGCCCACTCTCACTTTGGCTGTGGTCCTCTGCTGATGTTAACGCCAACGCCAACGCTGCACAGTGTTTTTTAGGCATCAAAAATGGAACAATAAATATTCTGCTATTGCTTATTTACAATAAAATACAATCTATACCAATAATTACTAAATTGTATCTAAACTCGAAAAGTCAAAGTGAAAAGATGATTTTCTGATTCTGATATTAGATTCGGCGAACTGCAATTACTTTTATTTTATAGCCAGAATTTCAGAAACAGTAATATGCAATTTTCTTGTAATATGAAGAAAACCGTGAGATTACACAAATTAATTCATCACAATCTTAGTTTATTCTCTAAGATTCAAAAGCGCTAAAAACTATTCTAATTTCTTGAGCGTTTCAATTCTCAGCAGTTTTTTTTTGCAATTGTTTCTATTGTTTTTAATCAATTTGGTACACTGTGCGCCGTTGCTGCTGTTTTGCTCCTTGTTTTTGCTACGCTTTCGCTTTGTGTTTTGTGCGCCGAGCTTTGGCTTTGCTTTGCCTGCTGCCTGCTTGCCTACAGCCGCTGTTGCTTTCGTCGTGGCCTTGTGTTGATGTTGCTGTTGTTGTTTTTGTTATTGCCCAGCTTGTCACTGTGTGCGTGCGTGTGCTTTTTGGTTCGACTACCGCTGCTGCTGCTGGCTTTGTGGCCTGGCCGAAGAAGAAGAACTACTACTACTGTACTTGGCGGCAGCAATCGTTGGCTTTATTGCGTTTCATATCCTTTTTTTTTGTTTGCCATCTTTGGCCGTGTTGTTTGCATGGAATTTCTCATTTTAAAATATTCATTTCATATTTACCCCCGATCCATACATACACACACACACACATACACACGTCGGCACGCACTTGATTTCTTTGTTGTGATGCCGTATTATGTCATAATTGATTTGCAAAAGGACACAGGAAATCAACAATGCCGGAATTTTAACAGCAACAACAGCAGCCAATAATGAATCACATTTCATTTGATTTGCACTTTAAAAACATGGCCCATGTGGTTCTCCTCTCTCTCTCTGTCTCTCTCTAGGTATGTGTGTGTTTCTCTCTTATTTTTTCCTTCTCTCTCTGCCTCTCTTTGTGCACCGGCTTTTGTTGCCGCCATCGCCTGTGCCAGCTGCCCCCTCCCCCATCGATATTGCTCTCTGCTGACGCCATAGCCTTTGCTTTATTTTGCTTTGTTACTACCTTTGTTGTGTGTATTTTTGCAGTTTCGCTTTGCGTTTGTATTTCACTGGCTCAGCCTATCAATTTTTTATTTTGTGTTGTTGTATTTGCAATTTCGCACACACACACACACACATGCACACATACACGCTCTCACGCACACTTTAACATTCGACGGCGACATCAACGACGACGCCGACGCCAACGTCGACTGCGGCCGCCGCTTAAATCAACAAATTACGAGTATTTTCACTGTCGCTGTCGAACATGATTTTCGCAATTGTTGTTATTGTTGTTGTCATTAAACATTATTTGTTTGTTGCTTTGTGGTGCTCTGCGCGTGCATTAACAATAAGATACACACGCACACATACACACACGCAGAAAGTTACAAAAATATTTGTCAACGCGTTGCTGTCGAAGCGCCGTTCGAAATATTTACAAACTCTGCACTGCGAATTTAAATGCGAGAGCGGACTCGCGACGTCGCCAGCGAGCAGCAAACACGTCCAAACAGTTTGTACGCCATTCGTGTACTGGAAGCTTTGGTCCGAACTGCCGCTGCCGCTAACATGTTCGCTCGCACCAATACAGGTTCAGACTCACACGCATTCTCTGTATGCGGCAGTCAGACAAATAATACTCGTAAGCTTGCATTTGCCGGCGACGTCAACGTCAACGTCGACGTCGTCGCTGGCAACAACTTTTGTTTTTGTTTGCGCTGCAAAAAGAAGAAACAAATTTCAATGGCAGCGTCAAAAGCTCGCCACCATGAATGAAAGTTTGCCCATAGCGAAACGGAAGAAAAACGATGCACACAATAAACGGACAGAAATTCTTATTGCCGAATGGCGTTGCCGGATCAATTGTGCATATTAAGAAACCACGAATTACTTTAAGCATTTCGTAATTGCGCAATGTTTTACGTTAAAAAAAACTCAATAACAGCAAATTAATCGGTATTGAAAAATTTAATTTCAGCAATTGCGGAGATGTAATGGTGAACTATTTGGCCATAACGACGCAAGATATTTAATGAAATACATTACTTGAGTTCTAAATACTAATATTTAGGCAAAACGTTTGGTTTTTGGTTGAATGGTCTGTATCGATATTCGATAATTACGCGCCCAACTTACGTACGTTACGAATCGTGTAGTAATGTAGCAGCGAGCTTCTGTCATGCAAACGATGAGCGCGCATTTTGAATTCGCTCAAGCGGCAAGTTATACAAAATAATTACAATTTAAACATATAAATATAATTATATTTGAAGACATTGTTGTGTAGTAAATTTTGGTTTTATTGGGCGCTAGAATTGCATAGAATTGGTGAGCTGATTTTTACAATTGTATTATGTGTTTACATTACATATTTTTAATTGCTTGACTGTGATTGATTTCAATGAGGCGTTCTTCTTCCTGCTCCTAATCCGAGTCGGAGCGCGGTGAGCGCGTCGATTGCTTCTTGGACTTTTTATGCTTGCGCTTCTTGGTGTCGTGGCTGCTGCCGCGACTTTCGCGCCTCGCTCGACTCGCCGCCGCCGACGCATCCTGCTCCTGCTGCTGCTCGGCGCGCTCCTCCTCCTGCAGTTTCTTCAGCGTCTCCGCCTTGAGGCGCTCCAGCTCGTTCAGCTCGCGCGTGGTACGCTCCTTCTCCAGCTCATCCTGGCGCTGCTTCTCCGCGCGCCGCTCCTCCTCCTTGGCGATCTCCTTGCGCATGTGCTCCTTGAGCAGCAGCGCCGCCTCCGCCCGCTTCTGCATTTTCTCGCGTGCCGCCTTATCCTTATCCTCGGACTCCGCAGCAGCGGCGGCGGTGGCGGCGACCTTTGCCACACTGCGATCCCGCGAGCGACGCTGACGTGGCCGGCTGCTGCTCCTGCCACGACTGCGACTGCGTCGTCGCTCGGCGGACGCGTTCCGCTTGCGGCTGGGCGAATCGCGTCGCTTGCGATCGACTGAATCTCGTCGGGAATCGTGGCGCTTCCTTGGCGGCGCCGGCGGCGGCGATTCTTGGCGTCGTCTCCGTTCGGGCGACTCTTGTCGCTTCCTCACCGGCGACTCCTGACGTCTCCGGTCCGGCGACTCACCGCCCCGCCTCCGATTGCCGGGCGATGCCTGCCGCCGTCCCCGACTCCGCTGGCGCTCTCGGGAGCTGCGGCGTCGCTCCGCCGGCGAGCTGCGCGTTCGTATGGGCGACAGCGGGAAGCGATTGCGGTACTCGTTGTCCGGCGAACGCTGGCGACGATCCCGATCCGCAAACGGATTGCGCCGGCTGCGATTGAACTGACTCTGAGTCATGTTGTTGTTGTGATTGTTGTTGTTGTTGCTGCTGCCGTTATTGTTGTTGTGGCTGTTGTTGCTCTGCCGCTGGCGGGCTGGCGAACGCTGCTGCTGCTGCTGCTGGCGACGTGCCGGGGAGCGACGACGTTGCGGGGATCGGGAGCGACTTCTGTTGCGATTGCGGGAACTGGAACGTTCACGGCTGCGCTTCGATCTCTCCGGCTCGCGATGCCGGTCGTCTGCTTTGCGCTCGTCGCGCTTCTTGCGATTTTCCGGCGCCGCTTCGACAACCTTTGCTGGCGCTGGCTTGGATTCGCTCAGCTTGCGCATGGGTTGTTTGCTGGCTTGCTCCTCCGGCTCCGAGTCCTCACTGTCCGTCTGCTGTTCGTAGTCCAAGGCGTTCATGTCCACCGATTTGCGACGCTTGGGCGGCGCCTCCTCTTTGGGCGGCTTCTCCTTTTCGCGCTCCTTCTCCTTGGGCGGCTCGTGTGTCTCCTTCGCTGGCTTTGAACGGTCCGCAGCAGCATCCTTGCTGCTGCTGTTCGGCTGCCGTTTCTGTTTCGACGGCGATGATTTGTCTGGTGTCACTTTGCCGCCGTAGGTGCTGGCATGGCTTAGCTCAAAGTACGATTTCTTTGGATCCTTGGAGGCCTCCTCGTGGCGCTTTTTGCGCTCCTGTTCGCGACGCCGCACCTCCTCGTCTCGCATCTTGTTCTCCTCCTCCATGCGCTCCAGATCCGACAGCTTAATGGTGCGCTTCTGCGCATGCTTCCAATGCGGCGGCGTTATGCTCTTCGAGCGACTGCGCGACGGAGTCCTAAAACGCTGTAAAATATGAGATGAGAGACGAGTTATAGATTTGATCGATGTTGAATCGCAGGAATAGGAATTTAGATTGCTCACAAAGACACCGCGTCCCTTGACGATGCGACCACTGCGTGAGGTGGGCACCTGTTTCTTTGACCAGCCAAACGCATTGCGATTCCGCTCCCTGCCCCGATCCCGCTCGTCCCGTTCACGGTCCCGCTCATGGTCGCGTTCACGCTGACGTGCCTCGCGTGACACATCGCGTCCGCCGCCTCGATCCTCGCGGGAACGCGATCGCTCGGCACGCATTAGGAATTTATTCGACACCTGCACAGGTAGGAGGCAAATGATGTCAGTAAATTATTGGCAAATAAATAAATAAATATTCAATTTAGTTTGCATTTGCTGCAGTTGTGTTTCTGTGTGTCTGCCACGTGCACTCCTCAATTGTGTTGTACCTCGGGTATTTCGCTAGGATCGATTTTTGTGATGGTGACCAACGGATGAATTTCGCCCTCCTCATCATGGTGCTCCTCACGTCCATTGCCACGCACAGCACGTCCCGAATCGCTGCTGCAAATAGTTGCCATTAAAACCAGTTATGAATAATTGTTAATTTGGTATACTTTTCACTGTCGCTGGATTTGGACTCCTTGTGTGATCGCTTCTTCTTTGCTTTGTCCTTGCGCTGCTGCTTGGCCTCCACCAGCTGCTCGTTCTCGCTGCCTGATTCCTCAGTGGCCGTTGAACGCTTTCTGCGTTTCTTCTCCTTCTTTGCTGCAAGCCAAATATAAATTCCATTATTATGCTTATGAGTTGTGGAGATGATGGTAGTTCAGAGTCGAACTCACCCTTTGATTGCTTAACCAGTTCGCCACAGTTGACTATGGCCGCATCCTGCAGCGGGCGCGAATTGCGATCAATGGGCAGATCCTCTAATTGACGCACCAAATCCTGACCGGATAAAACATGACCGAATACAACATGGATACTGCAAAGCGATGAGAAATGCATATGTTTATAAGTAATTCAGTATTTGATTGGTATTCAGTTAAGCTAGCTCAGACTAAAGTTCTATTTTATCCTCGATTCCATAAATTATATATATGTTCTCGATCAGCATTCATTGCCGAGTTGATTTAGCCACATAAACAAGACCATCTCAGCGACTATAAGCGTTAGAGTTCTTCAGATATGCTATATATATTATCGTTTACTCTACGCAGTCCAAGTTGATTTCCTTTTATCGATACTAATCGATTTCCGATAAGAGAAAGAATTCTCAATAGAAAATATAGCCTGACACATTATTGATGATAATATATAGTATGAGAAAAGCCTGATATATATTTAAAAACTTTCTCGACTAGAAGCTTCTAAGGTATTTTTCAATTTTAAATCTCTACTTAACAAAATTAGCTCTGCTCAACAGTTGAAATTATTGCCACAGCTTCTATCACAATAAGCACAATAAATGCTGAAAAAATAATTAAATAAATGCTGAAGACAAGTATACATTAAAAGTTGGCTTAGCTATAAAATGAATTAACAAACAAAATGAAAGTTCTTTATTTTTATTAATAGTAGTGAAATAATAGAGACGATTTCTAAGCTCTTCCTGTGCCTAAATAGTATTTCTATAAACTAGATATGATGAGTGGTGGTTAAAACATTCTCAGATGAAAAACTAAACCTTTTTTCTTTTGTCGTATTTTAACAGCAAAAAATCAGTGATATTTCTATGAAATGCTTTTAGAGGCAGCAGTACTATTATTTTGACCGCAACTGTATATCTTTGAACTGTTTCTTCAGCTATATAAATAAATGATTGTTGAGATGATGGCTCTACTTACTTGTCCAAGTGTGGCGCAGGCTGTGTTGTACTACAATGAAAAACAGAAGAGAAGAAAAATATTCTTTACACATTGCAAACTTTGGTTCGGTTTGTTGTTTGGTTGTTGTTGGTTGTCTGGTTGTAGTTTTCTATTGTTGCTGTTTGTTGAGTTGTTGTTGTTGTTCTTGAGGCTGTTGTTGTTGTCTGTAGTTGTAGCTGAAGATGGAGACAACAAACTTAAAGATATCAAGTTGAAGACAACAACTGGGCAGCAACTGAGCAGCCAATCCCGACTAGGATTCGATTTGATCATCTCATCATCATCATCATCATCAGCATCAGCTTCATCATCATCATCATCATCATCGCGTTGTGGTTGCTGTGGTTGTTGTTGTGTTGCCAAAGACAGTGCCGAGTGAAGAGGAGAGGAGACGAGACGAGGGAGGCTGACGCAGAGGCTGCCCATAGGTCTCAGCTACGCCCAGTTGCACCCACACCCACACTCACACACACACACACGCGCACACACACGCACACACAGATATACACACGCTTTGGGCCATTGAGAGGGTGGTCGGGGGGGTGAATGGTGTCGGTGGTGGTGGTGGCTGGTGGGTGGTGGGTGCCCAGTCCTCTCGTCCAGAGAGAGAGAGAGAGAGTGAGAGCGCGAGAACTGGTCTCAGAGAGAACTCGCATACTCGCTGCTATACGGCAATAGATCAATGAACAACAACAGTATTTTAAATCGATATGCAAAGTACAAAAGTATATAGTAATTATGTATGAATGCATGTTGTTTGTTTTTATCGCTGCAAGAGAAACTATTACACAATTCCGTGTGGATTAAGATATAGCCAAAAATAATAAATTGATTGATTGGGATTGAGACGCCACAGTGAAACCACTTACATAAAGAACTGCGAACCGTTTGTGTTCTTGCCACGATTCGCCATCGACAGCAGAAATGGTCGATCGTGCTTCTTCTCAAAGCACTCGTCTGCAATAAAGTTGAAAAGAAAACAAACAATCAAATCAATTTGTCAGTAATTATTTCATATATCTATTTAACACTTATGCATTTATCTAATCTGCCTACTCAGCACTGATTCTCTTTAATGAGCAATGAAGGATACAAGTCTAGATTCAAACTAGCACCATTTATCTTAACTTGGCAAGGAATAATAACGAATAATTTAGTTTTAGGGTTTCACTTTAAGATGAACCCTTCAGTTGCAGCTGGATTCCATTCACAACATTTCTTACATTTTGGCATGTTTACTGAATGTAAAGTTGTTGTTTATATATTTTCCCATAAAGAGCAACACTCTGCAATTTCCAAATTCAATAAGTATGTCGCGACTTCAAAAAAATAATATATACTCGTATCCAGATTCATCAGGAGAACTTTAAAATTGAGGGACTACATCGCATAGAAGCAGACAGACGGACGGACATAGTTATATAGAACATGTTAGTGATAATCCAGATAGCTACACTAGCAGATACCCTCCTTTTAAATACATTCAGACTGGCTTCTATTCGTTTGTCCCATTTCAAAAAATAAATTTGTTCAGTTGATCAATATTATGTCATAAATGGGAAAGATATCTTTTGCTATCGGAAATCAATTTGTATCGATATTTTCGAAACTAGCGAAAATGAAACAAACTTGATTTACGTATGGCATATGAGAAAGAATATTCTAGATTTCATAAATAGTTTCTGAAATGGACTTACACAGACAAAAAGACGGACACGTCCAAATCGAGTTTGCTGGCTATGTCGATCAAGAATATATATATACCTTATGGAATCAAAGATTCTTCCTTCTAACTGTTACATACTTTTGCACAAATCCCATCCAACTTTTTGCTAATTTTTCACATACATATATATAATTAAACGATTTCTTCAAAATTTTACTAAAAGAGAAGAAGAAGATGAATGGAAACACCAATCACAATGCCAAAAGTATAGATTAGAAAATTAAGCTAAAGGCCTAAAAAATGACTGCAAAGCGTCCAATAAGCAACCTGAAAATAAATACAAATTTGTAATGCTTTCGTGTCATGCAAACAGCGGAGGACTAATGCATGTCATGCAGAGGCAACACACACACAGATTGTGTAGTCGAATAACAATAATAATAATAACAGTAATCAGGCTGTGCCATTAGATCGAATTATTTGATAGCAACACACACACACACAAACACGAACATACACATATACTCTATGCTTTGTGTATGTATGCATAAGCACACACACACACAGATGCAAAGAAGTCACACACACACACACAGACAGAACTTACCCTCGAATGTGCCGCCATAAATTGATTCGCCGCCGGTGCCGTTGCCCGCACTGAAATCGCCAGCCTGCACCATAAAATCCTTGACCACGCGATGGAAGATGACACCTTTGTAGTGGAGTCGCTTGCCGGTGACAAGTCCGGTGCCCTTTTCGCCCGTGCACAGCGAACGGAAATTCTCAACGGTCTTCGGTGCAATGTCGCTAAACAGCTCAAAGACGATGCGACCGACGCTCAAACCGCCGAGCGTTATGTCGAAAAAGCAACGCGGTCGCGTCGCACTCGCGTCCCGCTTGTTGACCGTCATAATTGTCGTTAAGCGCAATCACTTTTTTCACTGTTTTTATTTGTTAATTATTCACGTTGCACAACTTTTTGTACGCTTTTCTTTCTTTTCCACTTCTAGTTAACTCTGTATTTGCGGCCAAATGCAGGGTTGGCATGCAGCAAAAGAAAAATATTTATTGGCCAGGGCTGCAAACGTGTCATACATGTCATGTTGCGGCCCTGAAAACTCACTTGTTTCGCTCGCAAAATGATTCAATTTGAAATAATTGTAATGTTAATTATTCAAAATTAACATGGCTTGTATTATTATTGTGAATATACACTGTAAATAATACACAGATTAAATGGGATATACAATTATTTATATTTCAATTGCGCACAAAAAACATTTAATTTTTTAATGGCACACAATGATTAACAAAGAAAAAGCGAAAGAAATGCAAATTGCTCGATTCAAAATCAGTAAATAATGATGGAACCTAGACTAAATATATATATAGATATATATGTATTACGGACAATACATAGAATAAAACGCTCTGTGCGGTCAGCTAAAATGAAAAATGGAATTCTTCTTAGGGGGATGCAGTGCATCGCATCAGGCATCTGCCGGGGATTTACTCAACTGTCACCGATTTGGCCAGATTGCGGGGACAGTCGACGTCGCAGCCTCGCAGTACGGCAATGTGATAGGAGAGCAGCTGGAGGGGTATCACGGTGAGAATGCCCTGCAGGCAGTCCACGGTGCGGGGTATTTGCAGCGAGCGCGTGGAGAAGGCCATCGTCTCCGCATCGCCTTCTTCGCAGATGAGGATCGGTCGGCCCTTGCGCGAGGTGACCTGCTGCAGGGCATTCATGCACTTGGTGTACACTGGATCACGCATCACGATCATCAGCACGGGCATCTCATCGTCGACCAGCGCCAGTGGTCCATGCTTCAGTTCCCCCGCCAAGATGCCCTCGCTGTGCATGTAGGTCAGCTCCTTGACCTTGAGAGCACCCTCCAAGCAGGTGGCAAAATTGAAGCCACGTCCCATGATCAGCAGCGACTTGTGCTTGTACAGCTCCTTGGCCAGCTGCTGCACCTGCGAGTTCAGCTGCAACACAGTCCGGATATGTGCATCTAGCTGCGACAGGCCGGCGATGATCTCAAGGCGACGCTGCTGCAGCGACAAGCGATCCTCGGACATGACCAGGGCGAACATCACCAGCGAGATGAACTGCGAGGTGTACGCCTTGGTGGAGGCGACACCAATTTCTGGGCCCGCATTGATATGGACACCGCAATGGGATTCGCGGCAGATGCTGCTGCCCACCGTATTGGTGATGCCCACGATGAGAGCGCCACGCTGCTTGCAGTAACGGAGCGCCATCAGCGTGTCCGCCGTCTCGCCCGACTGCGAAATGAAGAAGCACACGTCGTCGCGATAGATGGGCGTGTTGCGATCCAGGAAATCGGAGGCCAGCTCAACCATGACCGGCAGCTCGGTGAGCTCCTCGAGCAGTTGCCGTGTGGCGACCGCACTGTGATACGAGGTGCCGCAAGCGATGAGCATCAGGCGACGACAGCGCTTAATCTCCGGAATGTACTCCTTGATGCCGCCCAGGACAACCGTCTGGGTGACGAAACGCACGCGTCCACGCATTGTGTTTACCACGGATTCGGGCTGCTCGAAGATCTCCTTGAGCATAAAGTAATCGTAGTTGCCCTTCATAATCTGTTGTATCTCCATTTTCAGTGTGATTATCTCCCGGGCATGCGGATCATCCGAGGATTTGTTCACCCGGTGTATGCTCAACGTGCCATCCTGTTTGACAGCGGCCACATCATCATCCTCCAGGTAGATGACGCGATTCGTGTGCTCGATCACCGCCGATGCGTCCGAGGCAAAGAAATACTCCACCTCCTTGTGCTCCAGCGGCTGAAACTCGGCGCTGACTTCCACATTCCGGGCGCCACTGCTGTTGCTGCTGCTGGGCAGCAGATGGAATTGGGCTTGGTTGTGGGGACGATGCGCCTTCGTGTACAGTATGGGCACATGATCGGTGGCCAGTTTTGTCTTCGCCTTGATGCCCACCAGCAGTGGTGAGCCGCGACGCGAGGCGACGCACTCGCCCGGAAAGTGCTTGGACTTAAGGGCAATGGCGAAGGCGCCCTCGATCTGCTGGATGGCCTGCTCGACGAGCTCGCCGAAGGTGTAGCCCGGATGCGATTGCCAGAGATGATGCACCAGCTTGGCAATCACCTCCGTGTCCGTCTCCGACTCAAAGACATAGCCTCGCTTTTCCAGCAGCGTCTTCACGTCCTTGTAGTTGGTGATGATTCCGTTGTGGACAACCACAAAGCTATTCTCCGGATCGGAGCGTTGCGGATGCGAGTTCAGCTCCGACGGCACACCATGCGTTGCCCAGCGCGTGTGTGCAATGCCAATGTGAATGTCCACCGGCTGATCCCAGTTGCCCAATCCACCATTGCCGGATTCCCCGCTCGTCAGCATCATCTCGGCAATGGCATCCTCGAGCATTTTCACCTTGCCCGTTCGCTTCACCATGAGGATGTCGTGTCCCGCCTCGTCGCTGGGCGCATCGATGGCCAGTCCGGTGGAGTCATAGCCACGATATTCGAGACGCTTCAAGCCTTGCACCAAGAGCTCCAAAACCTGCTGACGCGACTTGGGCGTCAAATAATTGAGATAAGCAAAGATCCCGCACATTATTCCAATTTATTCTCCGCTTTAGTTAATTCCTTTTGGGCCACGTCGGCTTGCTTCTGAATGTAAACAGTGAATGAGAATTTCTTTTCTTTCTTTTCTACGAATGATAAATTTTGCTGCCCTCCCACACACACACACACACACCGAGGCACACACATATACACACACGCAACTGTAATCAGCAGTTGACGTGCGCAAAATGTAAACAAATAGCGCTGCAAAGGCATTTCTTCTTGTTGTTTGCCAGCTTGTGCTGTAACTAAAATAAAAATTTTACAGTGCTGTAAATCGAAAGCTAATAAAAAGATAAAGATAAAAATCAATAAAAATAATGAATTTTAAATAAGAACGCAAAAACCCATCGGCATTTACAGCGTTGCCATTTTGTCGCAATTAAACCGACACTGTTGCACTGTGAATGGCCAAATGGTCACAGCATATATCGATAAATGAGCTGTGCACGACGGCCGCGATAGTGAGAACAGCCCTGTTCTTTTCCTTTTCGACCGCGACGGGTAAAAAAACCACATGTCTTGCTCGGTATCCGAGATTTTGTGAAATTATGCTGCAAAGTGCTGTTAAAACACAAACAAGTGCTAATCGTGTCAACTACTAACTGAACAACATTGCAATTTGTTAGAATCTGTGTGAAATCATTGCATTCGTGCTAATTCGTAACCACACAAAAAAAAAAAACGTTCTAGCTACCTACCAACCCACCAGCGCGTGAGTGAGCGAGTGAGAGCGAGTGCGAGAGTAGTGAGAGTGCGAAGAGTACGAAAATCGCGAAGCAAAGCATACGAAGTAAAAACAACAACAACAATAGCAACAGAAGCAACAACAAACACGTTGGCGCATACGTGAAACGACGTTAGCAAAGCAGAAAGCAAAGCAAAACGTTGAATTGTGTATCAATTCTTGTTGTTTTTCTCGTCTACTACTTGCAGTTGTTAGATAGATAGATACGCGTACACGTCCCATTGTGATTGGTGCGTAATATTTTAAATATACCATATAAATGTTTTATTATATGTGCGTGTGTATGTGTGTGTGTGAATTGTGTGCTCCTCTGAAATTTGAGCTTGAAGATTGGTGCAGCAAGCGCAAGCAGGCTGCACAAACAGCTGTTCGCTGGCCAGGGATGCACACAATGCCAGCGTTGTTGTTGCATAACCACAATTGCCAAAGCGGCCGTTTGCTGCCCCATCTGCCCGCTTCCTCTTACACATTTATTGTACTGAGCTTGTGTGCAATTGATTAAACATTTCAATACAGTCTCTTTTGTATTTTGTATTTGGCTATTGCGTCGCATTCAAATTCTATGCTGGACTTTACAGCAGGTTGGCAGGGCCGACGAAGCAACTAATCGCTTGTTGCTCTTTGTGCTGCTGCTTCGCACGCTCTTGCGCGGGAGGGAGGGGGTCATTCTGTGACTGCTGCTTCGCCGCCGCCGCGCCTTAACCTCACTTGTATTTCTGGCTGTGTGGCTGGCTGCATAATATTTTATACTCCTCGTCAGTTCTCCGTTCTCATTCTTTCGCCTTTCGTCTTTTTTTTTTCAATTTATCGTGCTTCATTAGCTGAACGCGTATAATGCACCATTTTTGAGACGTCGAGCGACAAAGATTACAATTGTAAAATCAAATTCGTAAAGCAGCGTAAAAATTGAAATTAAATATTGAAATGCAATGTGCCCTTAAATAGCCAAATGCACAACGAGAGATAGAGAGAGAGAGGAGTGTGGGGAAATGGCACTTTGCTAGTGCATTGTTATTTTTTAACGGTAAGCCGCATGCATTTAAGAAAAGGTCGAGGTGCAAACATGTCTGTGTGTGTTGGTGTCTCTGTGTGCATGTGTGTGTGAAAGAAGAAGAAAATCAACAAAAACATCTAACGTGATTTTCTTGTATCATTTACAGTTACAGCAGCAGCAGCAGCAGCTCGTTTGTTCGATCTCGTTGATTACGTGCATATAGATTATATATATATATATATATATATTTTTGTTGGTCTGGCAAGGAAGCACCAAAGAGTTTCCCACTCCAAACCAACAAAAAAACAACAACAACAACGAGTTTAGAGCAGTCGCAGCAGCAGAAGATCCACAATCTGGAGTAGAGCAACGAAAGCTGCCCACTCAGAGAGAGAGAGAGAGATTATCAGCAGAAGTAGGAGCAAAATCAACAACAACAACAACAAAGAAGAAGATTTAGAATGTCCAGCAGCAGCAGCAAGGAGGATGCAGCTGCCACAGCGTCGAATGCTGGCATCGATGCCGTCAACGCTGCCACAGCCACCACCACTTCGTACGCGAATGTTGTGCAGAATTTGGACAGCAAGAAGGGGACAGCAACGGGGGCAGCAGCAGTTGGCGCTGGTGTGGACAACAACAAGGAGAACCAACCGAATCTGAAGACGCTCAAATCGTGGAGCGAGGAGACCGCAGCCGCTGAGGCAGCAGCCGTCGATGATTTGGTGGTGCCACCGAATGTGGGCGAGAAGCGTGCCGCCGCTGGCGGCGACAATACGGCCGAGAACTCCTCGGAACTGGACGACAATAATGATTTTGTGCCGGTGCTGTCGCATCATCGCAATCGCGATCGCAAAAAGGCGCGCAAGGAAAAGACGACGACGACGACACGCGACAAGCAGCAGCAGCAGCAGACAGCCGGCGGCAGTGGCACGGGTGCGGGTCAGAAGCCGGGGCGACGTCAAACTGCAGGCGCTGAAATCGAGGGACGCAAACAAATGATGCGCTCTCGAGCGCCACGAGGCAATAACAACAATGGAAACACTGGCAACTCTGGCAAAATGGCAAGGGAACGCAAAACGGATACTTCGCCCAGCGCCAGTTTGGAAGCGGCCAACAACAGTAGTGGCAACGAGCCCAAACCCGGTGACATCGATGCCCAAACAGCTGTTGCCGCCTCTTCCTCGACTGCTACAGCTGCAACTGCAACAGGAGCAGCAGCAAATGCCGCAGTGGCGCCACAGCCAAAGCGCTTTGTTGCAGCACCGCCGCCAAAGGTGAACGCTTGGAAGGTAAGTCAGCTAAATCCCTTAAATTGGATTATATAATCTTAAAGAATTGAAAAGGGATTTTCTTTAATCGAAATTGAACCGCATCCAAAATTTAACATTTGCCATTCGCCTGTTTCGTGGACAGGCAATCAATGCGGAACCGAAACGGTTTACCGATTGAAACTTGGAACCATACCGTAACCGAATTTCGATTCGTTTTGATTCGCTTATCGGAATTGAAGGAGTTATCAGTTCAAGTGGAATAAATCGTGTACATTTTTGAACAAAAAGAAAAAAAGGAAATTAAAATGTAGATTGGCGTTTTCAATTCGAAATCAATTTAATATTATCATATTGATTGTTGAGCCTGCATCGAAAACTTTCTTAGCTTAACCTGTCAGAAAACGTATCTTGAAAACATTATTTATATGCAGGAAAGCAAATCAGATTCAACTTCAAATAGTATCATTTATGTATAAGTTAGGGTAACTCTAAAATGACGGCATGGCTTGTTGTGATAGATCATCAAAACAAAGAGCTAGGCACGGGAGGAGGGAAGGGAAGGGTGAAGCAAGCGCGATAATGTTTTTGTTTCGTTTGTTGATCTGCTGTTGGTAAACAAATGTGCGTGGAATGGCGTAAGCGCAGATAGAGAGCAAAGCATAACAAGCAACGAAGCAAGAAGCAGCAACACAACACACAAGACAAATAAACACGAGACGAGTATGGAAACGTGTTGTTGTTGTTGGCTATCAAATATGATTACAAATTATATTATCTGTACTTTAATGTAATATTTACTTTTGCTGGCGGATGATGCCCCCGCATTGCATAATATCGAAAATAGAAGCGATTTGTGAAAACAAAGCGAAAAACAGACGAAAAACGCAAGTGTTTTTTTTTCTTCTCTCGTTTTGTGTTTTACATGTTGTTTTGCGTATTATGCAACACTCGAAAAAACGAAGACACTGCCGGCAACTGCTGAATTGAATTGACGAACCCCACAAAAAGCACGCCCACAATAACAACCAGAACAACAACAAAAATAATAACAACAACAACAACAGCAGCTGCTAAATCAATCGGTCATTGTCTTTTGCTCTGTCGTTCACATTTCAAAAGCGAAAAAGCGTGCGATGCGAGAATCTGACAATCTAATTCGATTGTTTATTACGTTATGTTCTATTTTCTTGTTGATGTGTATCTTTTTATGTGTTCGTCGTTTATTATTGGACCTGTGCATTTGTGTTCGCCTAATTGTTGGATATTTATTTTTGTTTGTTTGCTTTCGCGCATCTATCGCACGACGACGACGACGAGCGAGCGAAAAAGTAAAAATGTACAGTTAAAAATAAATGTCAAGGTCAGCAGCGCGTGCAGAAGCCGCCGGCCTCGGCGTCGTCGTCAGCACGAGAGCAATTTTCATTATGTTTTGTTTGCTTATGAAAGACCTAAAACCTAAAAGCGAAACCAAACTTATTCGAACTACCCTCGCACAAGTGACACTTTTTTTGGGCTATATTATGCATATATTCGTAGTAGTCATGCAAATTAGTCTAATTAAGAAGATGTTGCCGACTAAAACAACAACAGTTATTTTCGCTTTTGTTTCCGTTTGTTGTTGTTGTTATTATTGTTTTTGTTGTTTTTGACTGTCGCACGAGTTTTGAGTAGTGTGTCGCGGCTGTCTCTTCTTGTTTGTTAACTATCGACGCTGAGGCGTCAACGCCGGCGACGTCGCTGCTGCTGCTTCACATTGACGCAGCGATTTGAAAACTAAAAGTAAAATTAACCAGTTGACGTGTGCCATTTCAGACGTTCGGAACGTGTGCGATATTTCTCGACCTGCACAGAACATAATTTAAAAAAATCCAGTAAAATTTCAATAAAAATATAAACTATAAAGGTTCACCCTAATCTGTTATCCATTCAAACTGCCACCACGTGTGCCTCGTGAATTCACCACATTTGTATAGTGGTGAAATGTTAACAACAACAATAACAAACAAAACAGCAAATATAAATATAAATATAAACGTGAAAACGAGTACTTGTTGAATATCATCATCATCAACGTGTTACGCTTTCTTGCCTCCACTTCTCTCCGCCTCTATCGTTCTGTTCGTGTGCCTTCCATTCTCGTGTCGTCAATTTATTATTACGTATGGAAGGTGACTAGCTACGACGATAAGCCACACGATGCACATATACTAACAGCGACGACGAGTAATAAAACTAGTAACAAACATGAAAACGAAAGTAAATATATACAAACTATCAATTCAATAATACTTAAATATAAATACACATTTTTGATGTCTATTAGAGCAACTAATATTTAATATTTCGAAATCAAAAATCACTTAAATTGCAAACAAAATATAGTAAATATAGTAATAAATAAGTAAACATAATGTAACTTTATACGCGCAGCTATCTGTGCAATGTTTGTTGTAGATTGTTCTTATATTAGCTTCCTTTAAAAGCAGTTCCAGATAAATGCACACTGAATAGATAAAAACTATTACTTAAGCGTCTTATCTGTTTTGGCTTTGACTGTTTTCATTTCCATTCCTGCATTTACATCAGAAACGAGCAGTACCAAGAATGAACAGCAAAATAAAACTGGAAAACGCATTAAGCGGCGTTATACACTGTGCAGAGATAATATCGAAATGCATTCGTTTTTCTGTTGCATTGCCTGCTTGCCTGTTTATCATGTTGCTGTTTACAATTTCGTATTATTGTCATTCATATGGTTATCGAAAAATGTGGATCCACTCGAGTACCCTGATTTCGCGCAGTGATCGCACACTCCTCCAATACATGTATGCTTTTATTTGTTCTTTGCCTTTCTCTTTGTGGTCGACTTTGTTGTACATAAAAATGTATATAAGTTTGAATATTTATGCTTTCTTTATGTGCACTTCTTTCTTTCTTTCCTTTCTTTATTTTCTGTTCATCTACGTCAAAGCTTTAATGCTTTTTCTGTTTCCTTGTGCAATACTTATTTAACGCATAGTAAATAATACGCAAAATCTTTTTGCCAAAAATTGAACACATTTTCGACTGCTTGTCAGTTATGGCAATATTTCTATATATTGTATTTACGTATGAGTTATGTAAGTCACTATCCAGAACTGACAATGGGGACACAGACCACCTTTGTTGTGTGATCTTGTTTATTGCTGACCTTAATCATATTACTTTTGCAAAAAATAGTCTCCAGTTGGGAAGGTTTAGCATATTCAATTTATCAACTTTAAGGTTGCGGAAACATAAAAGAAATGACGGGCGAACAGATGAATATATATTTCTAGAGATTTATTAAGGGATAATAACAGAAGTTTTAAAAAGCGACTTATAATACACACTATGTCAAGAAAGTATTTTGTCAAGGCAAATGTTCATATATTATATATTATAGTATATTTAGTACTGATTCAGATTTGAGTGCTATTCAACATTATTTCTGATTCATATATAATTTAGAATTGAGTAGAGTTCCGATTTGTATGTATTTAAATATTGGCATTATAATTTATGAGTAAAAAAAACTTCTTTGCAAGGTAATCATCTCGTGAATATTTGTCTGTTTCGTATTATTGCATTTAATTTACTTAATTTTTTTAAAGAATCCATTTCCTCATACGTGTGTTCTTTGTGCTTCACTTTTGTGCTGCTCTTGAGGTTGCCATTATCTGAATAAGAGCATATATTAATTTTGAGTGCTCCGCTTTCCTTGCTTACAAAAATAATATAGTTGTAAATAAAAAAATATATGTTGAGTATTTATATGAGCAAGAGTATGTGATATGGTGGCTGAAACAGCTTAATAAATAACTTTTGTAACCGTTGAAAATACACTTATTAGATACATCTGATACCTATTATAAATATTTCTTATATAAGGCTTTTTCGGTTCAGGTTTTGTTGAGGACATCCCAAATACTTCTATCCGAATCATTCTATTAGTAATAAATTCTGATGACTGTTTGGCAAAGACAACTTGTTGATACACTTTATTTTGTTATGATCCCAAAATAATGAAACATAATATTATAAATAATTTCGTACTTAAATGATAAGCAAAGTGTGGGACCAGCATTGGAATGATTTATTAAAATTATCTCACTAATCATGCAAATTATTCAGCGCTCCGATACGAATTGTATCTGATATATGTACATACATATGTATGTTTATGCGAATGTGTTTACTGGGATTTGTGTGTACACTCGACCAATCAGAAACCAGATTCAAGAAATTCTCTAAAGGTCTCGCTGTCTCTCTCCCACACTCTCTTTTTGTTCTTCTTTCTTGGGGGTCTTGATAAAGACTTGCTACGCAGTTAAGTTTGGCCCCCCACAACTCAAACACATGCCAAATAACAAGAACAATACCAGTTCACCTACATCTAGGAGCACTGACACACACAAACACAAACACACACATACATTATTTGTTGTTATCAATTTAATGAAATTGCGTAGAAAGCAATATTAATAAAAAATTGCTTAAAATGGCACATGGCAAAAAGTAAATAAAAATTGCTCATCAATCAGTTTTGACCTTATTGTTTATTTTTAGATTATGCGTATTTCGCTGCATTTTTATCATTTTTGCCTGCCTCTGTGTTCCCTATTCGTGTTCAGTTTGAAAACCTGCTTTCGCTAACGAGCTGCCATCCCCCCCTTTCTCCTTCCCCATCTCTACTAACATGCATTGCCGTTGATTTGATTGTGAGCACGTTTTGCGGCTGCAATGGAAATAAATATGATTTAGTTATATTTCTGATTTTTACATAACGAGCATTTGCGGCTGGCATTTTTCGCCGCTTTGATCGCATACCTGTGCAATCTATTCCATTTTACTAAAACGTAGTAATATACATAATATCACCTATAATCCCCCCCACATTTATTTATGGTGATAACGAACCGAAAACCGCTGCGAGCAGAGAGGAGTGAAAACTTGAATAGAGAATGTCAGTCTTTTTGCACGTTTTTTTTTTTGTTTTTCGCTACTTCATGCGCGCTTTGGCTTGTAAGACCCGCCTCGACTCTTGGTTATATTGCCTGTCAGCGTCGCTGTCGTCGTTGACTGCGCTGCCGCCTTATTTGTCTCTCTCGTCAGTTTAAATTATCATTTTGCATTAGAATCGCCTCAGTTGTCTTTCAGCGATCGTTCGTTGTGGAACTAAATACAATCAAAGATACATTTTTCGCCAAAGCAAATGTCTATGAATGTGAATAACAAGAAAGGAAAAAAAGAAGAAATTTTAAAGTGCTCCAACATCCATCAACTCTACTGCGCATTAATTATTATTGTGCTTCTGCTCTAACTTCGAATTTGAGAGGCAAGTTCAAGTTGTGTTTACGCAAGTCAGAAATTATTGCCAAGGTTCTTTCGAACATGACATGCAATGACTTTGTTTTTTACTACGTGCGACAAAGCACAAATGAGCTTTCGATTAATCAAGTTTGGATGCCATTTGAAAAAGCTCTTCGCATCACTGACCTTGACTTGACAAAAAATACTACTACTGATACTACACACAAACATTACGATTCTAATCTAAGTGCAGGCATATAATTTATTTTTAAACATTTTATTATCATGTATATTTAGCTAATACGTCAGAGAGAGGTGACCCGGGGGTTCAAATGTCTTGAAAACAGATAACAGTGCTCAAATTAAATACTTAAATGTATTGTATAAATGCAAATATATTGTATATTGACTTACATTGTTGAGACACGCTGTTAGAACGTGTCCCTTGGTGTGGAAAACTACTGACCCCGATACCATTTTTGGGATGACTCATGAAACCATGGAAGGAATTTCCAATGAACAACAATGGATAACTTTTTCTTATATATAGATAGGAGTACGTGATATCGCTCACATCTGACAATTGACGATTTTTGGGGGACAATGCAAGGACAATTTCAGTTTTTTTCAATTTGTATGTTTTGAATGTGAAAAAAACACAAACCATCTTGTAATTTCTGTATGCACATTGGTACATGAAAAAGCCACGCGCACCTCGCTCATTGCGCTCTCTCTCATTTCTCATTTCTTCTGTTTCTCTCTGCGTCTTTTTGGTCTGTGAAGTTTTTCAACTACCCGCGAGAGCTGCTGCTGCCTCTTTGGCCTACGTGCCGAAAATCACATGTTGTTTGTTTTTCTGTTTTTCACGTTACACTTTTACAACATGTTGCGAGCTAGCGAGCGAGACGGCAAATGTTTATTGCCATCTGTCTTTCTTTTTCGCCTCAGAGTTGCACGCTTGCTAATTCAATTTGGAAATGCTTGTATGCAAAACGTCTTAATATTCATGTATTTTAAATTTAAATTGAGAAATGTGTTGTAAACAAAATGCGTATGAAAACAACACATATTTGTGCTGAACCACAAACCATAGGAAAAACCTGTATCTACTATACCATTATACAGGGTGCTTTGCCCCCGGCAAATTGCGCTGCTCTTGTTGTTCTCTTGCTCCATCTCTCTCGCTCGCTCTCACGCATATTCCAACCGGCGCATCGGCTGTTTTTTGTTATTATTTTGAGTCGCCTTTTATACTTTTTGTTCAACGACGTTGTTGTTGTTTTGTAAAACCAGTCGTTGTTGTTGCTGCTACTGGTCGCTTGGCCCTCTTTGTCCGCAGTCGTTTCGTATTCGTTTTTGCTCACGTAGTCATCGCGTGCACAGTAAACACCAACGCCAGCAGAGACGCGAGCAGCGCGGCAGAGTTGTTTTCATTGTGTTCGATTCGTCGCTGGTCGTGCACAGAATTCAACGAGCAGTTAAAGAGAACGGACGCATCTTTTCTTAAGTGTTCCACGCTAAAAATAAGCGCAAGCATTTGTTTAAACAATTTGCGAGAGTGAGAGCAATTGAAACAATTTATACCCATATATAAGTATATATATATATATATATATATATATATATGTGTGATCAGCAAAGCAAACAAACTTACTTTGTGTACGTGTGTGAGATAAGATATGAGAAAAGCTGCATGCGGTCGTAAGAAATTTCATATTATGAGTTGCTTTTTGGATTAGTGGCAACATTTGGGCATTTGTTAAATAATTTAAGGTAAATTTGCTCATTTTTGTGTATCTGACATATATATATATATATATAGATACATAAGTGTGTGTGTATCGGGTCATGAACCGAATCTGGGTTAGGGACACTCCCAAGAGCATTGCTTTTGTTGTTGTTGTGGCCACATTTTGCAGGTTAGGTTGAGCTCTGTAGAGCGAGTAAACTAGTAGGGGGAAAAAAAATAAAACATGGAAATTAGAACGAAGTTGAATTGATTTTTCAATCGTCTATGACGCACAACTGCTGCTGAGAAATTTGTTAAATACATGTGTGTATTTAATACATTTTATTTTTACATACAGATATCATCAAAACAAGTGGGCAGCCCAAAAGCTAGCACCTCGCCATTGGAGAAACGCGTCTTGCAACCAAAGACACAACAGCAACAACAGCAGCAGCCGCAGCAGCAGCAGCCACAACCGAAACAGACTGTCAGCAATAATAATAATAACAACAACAATAACAATCAAGGTGCACAGAACAGCAGCAGCAGCAGCAGTAACAGCAACAAAAAGACACAACAACAGCAGCAATCAACAACAACACAGACGGTAATTAAAGCCACAACAACAACAACAACAGTAACAACAGGAGCAGCCGCAACAACAACAACAACAAAAACAAGCGAGTCTGTTGCAACAAATGGTGAGTAAAAGTTCTCTCGCTCTCTCTCTTCTCTCTTTCTCTCTCTCTGTCTTCTCTCTCTACACATTTTGTCCACTTTTATTTACTCTCGGCGCAACTGCGTGTCGGATATGTCAAATGTGATTGGCCTGATTCGAAATGATTCTTATATTTCCCAAATATATATTTTTCTTCGATTTTTTCAGTTGATGCGACTTCTGCAGATGCGCTCGCCCCTGCAGTGGTAAAGGACAAAAAGAAGGTCAATCAAAAGGTAACAAAAAAAAAAAAAAACATGCAGAAATCACATCTTATAAATTCTTGGCCCGATTGTACAACAAATTCTGTTTGCATTTTGCAGGCCAGCGATTTTAGTAACGTTGGCGAGTGGCCGACGCTAATTGGTGGAGTTTCTGGCAGTGGCAAAGCCACCGTTAACGAGACTAAACGTAGCTCAACCCGCAAACAGACAGCGGCCAAATCCGCTGCAGCCACAACAGCCCAACAGCCCGCAGCAACAATAGTCGCAACTGCAGCAGCAGCAGCAACAACCACAACAGCAGCAACAACAGGAGTAGCTTCAACAAAAGAAGCTTGCGTTGAGTCAACCGTTGTCCCCGTTGTTGCCAGCAACAGTAGCAGCAGCAACAGCAACAACAGCAGCAGCACCAGCAACAACAGCAGTCAAGCAAATAACGCCAGCACGAGTCATGATGCCAGGAGCCAGCGAGAAGCCGAGCAATCCGCTGGCAGCGCAACTGTCCCTGCTGTTGGCACCCTTGCCGCTGGTGCTCCCATCAACAAGAAAATGCCCAAGCACAAGTGGCGTCCACTGCAAATCGATCTGGCCAAGTCTAGCCGGGCCAAGCCCATTGGTGGCCGGCCCAATCGCCGGTTCAGCGATGATGCCTACGAGCAGCGTCGTCCGCAGCGTTCCTACAATGAGCGTGGTGTCGGCAGTGGAGGGCCAGCTGCAGCAGCAACCGGCACAGCCGGAACAGCAGCAGCATCGGCTGCATCAACATCATCAATATCCAGAGGCGGTGAAGGTCAGCAAGGAGGTGCAACGGATTCGCGGCCATATGGTGGCCGTTATGCGTACAACGCACGCACGTCTGCTGCGCCCGAGCGCGTGGATTCCTGGCGTAGCAGCGGCTCCAGTGTCGCCGCTGCCAACGATGAGCAACAACGCTCAGGGACAGGCGGTGGTGCAAGCGAAGGAGGGGCAGCGGGTGCCGGGGCAGCGACAGGGTCTGGCGGTGGGTTGCGTGGCCCTCGCCGCTTCCGCACGCCGTATCGGGGCGGGCGGCAGGGGCGTGGCGGTGGATTCACAAGACCGGGACCAGGTCGTCCAACTAATCGCATACCACGCCATCTGTTAGCTTCCGGCGAGTATGTCAACTATTTGCCGGCAGACGCAGCCGGCGCAGATACTTCGCAATCATATGTGCTCATGGGCACCCACTATTTCGGCAACGTTCCGGCTGCGTACATTGAAATGGACGCCGCCAGCGTCAAAGAGGCCATCAAGAAGCAAGTGTAAGTAGTCCTCTCCTGTCACATCTCCTGGCATTCAAGATCAAATTTCAAGACTCACACTTGGTTGGAAAATTCATTATGTAACCAAAAATTATGTTTGATCTCTTTATTCAATACAATTCAAATAAAGGAGCGAATTTGAAATAATTTCTATTCGCTTGTAAAAATGGTATACTTCAATATTTCATGAAAGAATGTTTTTCAAAATCGATTTAATATTCAAATAAGTAATGTAGAAATTAGAATTGTATAAGAGACTTGGAGAGATCAAGAAATTTGAATGGTTGGCGAATTTGAAGTGATTTATTAACGATATGTCTGATTACTTTACTATATCTTCGTTATATATTCTACATAATTAACTAATTATTCTTCTAATTAACTAATTCTTTCGCCACAGTGAATACTATTTTAGCGTCGATAATCTTACCGGCGACTTCTTTTTGCGCCGCAAAATGGACCCAGAGGGCTATATACCGGTCACACTGATCGCCTCGTTCCATCGCGTACTGGCGCTCACCAAGGACGTGGCACTGATTGTGACCGCCATCAAGGACTCGGACAAGCTGGATCTTTTCGAGGGCTATAAGGTGCGCACAAAGACAACGCCCACCATGTGGCCGATCAGCGATGCAGTCGATCCCAAGGATCAGCAGACCCTCACCGGGGCGGAGGCTGACAACAAGTCCGACGCCACAACTGACAAGCCTGAAAAGCAGCTGCAGCAGCAAGATCAGAAACAGAAGCAGCAGAAGCAAAAGATGATGCCAGAAAAGCAGACTGAATCGGTAGCAGCTGATACAGCAGCAGCAGCAGCAGATGCGCATGTAAAACCAGCGGTGGCACAGTTGTCGCCAGCATCGTCACCACCTACAACAGCCATATTGACCTCGGCCATGGCCGGGAAACCATTGAGCAGCATACCGCCGCCGCCGGTGCCACGCAATACGATGCCCAAGATGCTGCTGGATAATAAGCAGAGACCGACTTTGTCGGGCATGAATTCCTCGGTGAATGCGATCAGTGCCCTCACACAGCGTGTGGAGGGTGTGGTTGGTGGGCAGAAGGGGGGCGGCGGTGTTGGCGCCGCTGCCGAGCTGGCCGATCATCTGAGCGGCCTGGCCGAGAGTGTCAAGCCGAAGAGCAGCTCGACGCCGGAGAAGCGAACGGCGGCAAAGGCAGCTGGTGGTGTGGCTGGTGAAGGTGTTGGGGCAGCAGGTGCTTTGGTGGCAGAGCCGGAGGGCATGTGGAAAGAGGTAAAGAGACGCTCCAAAACAAACGCTTTAAAAGATAACGCTACTAAATCAATCAACAACAACATCAACAACAACAACAACAAGAACAACACGTCCACGTCAACACAACAGCAACAACAACAACAGCAAACGCTTTCACAAACGCTCAGCAACAACAACAACAACAGTAACAGTAACAATAACAACAATAACAATATCAAAAATATTAAGACGAACAAGAACAACAATACCGTCACTGCAAATGCGTCCTCCACAACCACGTCCTTGTCCACCACAACCACGTCCTCGTCCACGTCCACGTCCAAGTTATCGTCTGCATCCAACGCCACATCCAATGCCTCATCAGCCAGCAACAATGCATCCATCGCTGCCTCTGTTACCACCAATACCGCCACCACCACCACCATCACCACCAATACCACCACCACCAATGCCACCACAAACAGCAACAGCAATAAAATCCAATCATCTTCTGGCAAAGCTGCTTACACCACCAACTCCCAATCCTCCTCCAAAACAGCTGCTGCTGCGCCATCCGCTCAGTGCCATGCCGAAAAGGAAGAACTAGACTTTCAATTTGACGAGGAGCTAATGGACCCCATACCCGCCACCGGACGCATCAATAACTTCACCGAAAACTTCTCCGACGACGACGAATCCGATTACGAATTTGCTGATCGCGACATCAACAAGCTGCTCATCGTTGCCCAGGTTGGTCGGGCGCCCAAACATGAGGGCTACGATCGCACCGCTGACTTCACCTCACGCACCAAAATTACACAGGATCTGGAGAACATTATCAACGATGGGCTGGTTAACTACGAAGAGGATTTGTGGACAACCACAAATGTGGTGCCCAACAATGATTATCGCACCGTCAACGTCATTTCCCAGGCCGACTTTGAAAAGCTGGCGGCCAACAAGAGACAACCACCAAAGCAGCAACCACCGCCGCCACCGCCAAACTATATAGATGATAACGAACAAGATGCCGATACTACGCTTGTCGATGCAGACACCACTCTGAATTCGACACTGAACTCCACACTGAAGTCGCGACGTGCCCGCTTCTATGCCGCACCCAATTCGCACTCCATTGATCCCCGCACGCCAAGAAAACGTAAATTGCGTCACACCGCCAATCCGCCGGTGGAGGCGCATGTCGGTTGGCTTCTGGACACTGTGGAGCATCGACCGCGGACCACATCGATGGGCTCATCGACGGGCACATCGCCGACGACATCGTCGTATGGTTCGTTTGGTTCATCGGTGCCGCAATCGTTGCCAGTGTTCCAGCATCCATCGCATGCGCTGCTCAAGGAGAACAACTTTACACAGCAGGCCTATCACAAGTATCATTCGCGCTGCTTAAAGGAGCGCCGTCGCCTGGGCTATGGACAATCGCAGGAGATGAACACACTGTATCGGTTCTGGTCATTCTTCCTGCGCGAGAACTTCAACAAGAGCATGTATAATGAGTTCCGTACGCTGGCGCTCGAGGATGCGGGCAATGGCTTCCGCTATGGTCTGGAGTGTCTATTCCGATTCTTCTCGTACGGCCTGGAAAAGAAGTTCCGCCCGAATGTCTATCAGGACTTCCAGGACGAGACAATTGCCGATTATGAGACAGGTAATACATAGTTACATCTATAATATATGATTTATTTCTTTTTTGCATATGTTGATCTGAATAAATCCAATTTTAATTGCGCTTTTTGTCAACTAGGTCAACTGTATGGCCTGGAGAAGTTCTGGGCGTTCCTCAAATACTACAAGAACGGCGAGAAATTGGAGGTGCAGCCAAAGCTGGACGAATATTTGAAGAGCTTCAAGAATATTGAAGACTTCCGCGTTGTGGAGCCCGAGATCAATGAGATGCTGCAAGGCGTTGGCAGCCTGACACCAGGACGCCAGCTCAATCGGTTGCGCAGTGTGTCCGAAAGCGATGGCACCGCTGTAGTCACTGCCGGTGGTCGTCGTTTAAACACCACAATCACCAATCGCAGCGACTATGTGGGTCGTCTGCTGCAGCAGCAACAACAACAGCAACATCAGCAACAGCAGCAGCAGCAACATCAGCATCATCAGGGTGGTGGCGGCTATGGCGGTGGTGGTTATGGTGGTCAGCAACAGAATCGCCGACGCACTGGCTCCTTTGGCAGCAGCACTGTACGCATACGCAGCGGCTCCCTGGGCAATAAGCCGCAGGTTGCCAATCGCAACTATCAGCAGGGATCACAGCACGAGCTGCGCCGCAACGGCAGCAACTCTGGCTTGGCGCCACAAAAGCGCCAACAGCAGCAGCAACAACAGCAGCAGCAGCACAAGGCAAAGCCACAGGCACCTGCACAAATTGGGGCCCAGTTGAGTGCAGCACGGGCCACCAACTCGTTGTTGGGTGGTCAGGTAGCAGCGGCGTCCACATCGACGGCAGCAGCAGCGTCCGTAGCTGCAGCGTCATCATCGTCGTCATCGTCAAAGAAGTAGAAATGTTGTAGAAAACGCAGCCACACACACAGTTGGATTAAGATTAATAATGACTTACTACGATTAGCTTGGTGTGGAGCCTTGGAGTGTCCAATTGCTCTTCTCTCTTTTGTTTATGACTATTATTCATCAGTTTTTAATCAGTAGTGGTAGTATTCGAGTGAAGCGCGTAATTGTTGGGGAGACATCCGTTAGCGTTAGTCTAATTAAGTTAAATTTGAAATTTGTTTATTGCAATTTGCTTAGCGTTGATTTAGTAATTATTGATAATTGTTTCAATTGATTTTTTCTTCATTCGTGCTTCATGCACATCTAACTGAAACGATTGCTTATGAAATGCTCAATGTTTGCTAGCACACACACACACACACACACACACACACATACACTCGCACACACACACATATACACACACACACACTCTAACATATATTTATATATATACATAGATATATGTATGCACAGGCAGTCTGTGCCCAGTGCCAATCCACACTCGCTATGAACTACATTTCTCTCCCAATTTTCATTATTATTATTTTTATATAATTTCGTTTTATTCTTTTTATTTTGTTTTGTGTGTGTATTTTGATATTGGTGAATATACATTTTGAACAAAAAACACAACAAGCAAGAAATATATCCTACTAAAGCAGCGTTTGATAATTGAACGGATGGCCATGAACTGTTGTACTGTACTATATACGATAATAATACATATAACGATAACGCATGAAACAAATGAATAAAATAAACCTACTACTATATAATTACCAAAACGACAATGTAAACGAAATTAATATATACAGAAACCAAATGATCTTAATGCAAATCAATTTTATACATTTACCAATCAAAATGTGCGTACGCAAAAGTACATTCAAGTATATATAACTACACACATATATATACATATATATATAGCACCAACATGCATATATACATCCATATATATATATATATATATATATATATATACTTTCTGTGTGGCCTAGGCGCAAATGTAATGTTATTGTTTAAGAGGCAGCGTTTGTTAACCTTTAAACCAATCGAGGCAAGCAGGGCGCCACTGCCAGCGAATTTTAGTAATTTAAGCATTTAAAATGTATCCGAAATGCGCAACTCAATTTGAAACATTTGCTACCACTGTGTGTCGGGTGAACAAAATCCACAAATATCACGAATCATTTATTCGATTCGATTCGATTCCTTTTCTGAGCATTGCACTGCCCCTCTTTCAACCACACACACACAACCACACACGACCCGTTCATATAGAAGCTACCAATTGGTATAATGATTCAGCACTTTCTAACCCGCCAAGCATTTAAAAAGTTTATGTTCAAAAGCAAAAAACCAACCGAAACCCTTTAAATTTTAAGTTATTGCACTTGTTACATTTATTTGAAATAAAAAAAATTATATATAAAAATTCTGAACAAAAAAAATTCAAAATCCTGAAAAACTAATGTCAAGTAAGCGAAACAAAAAAAAAAAAAAAAGTTTAAAACTTTCAAAAAATGCAAATTGTTGCCTATGAAACTAAACAAGAAAATAGAAGAAAAAAAACGAAGAAAAAAAAACTTAACCTTATGAAAACCAATAAAAACAAAATGTGTTTTGCATAGCTATTAGAATTAGTCTTAAACATATGTGAGAAATCAAATGTAAGCTTACTACTGATAATTATCTATATACGATATACATATGACTCTAAAGCGTAACTACAATTTCAAAATATAGGCGATTAATCCACGATCAAGTTTTGTTCGATGCTCAGTTTGCAAAACTGTAGATCACAATCACATACAACATACATACACACACAGCAGACATACATATGTAGACAAAAAACCCAAAATCCAAAAAAAAAAAACAATTAATCGCAATCTATTATTATGTCCTTGATTTTTGCTTCGCTCATCTAACAAATAAGCAACCAAAAAAAAAAAAAATATATAAAAATAAAACAAAAAACGAAAAAGTGCAAAAATGTTCAATACCCCTTATTATCATATTAATTATTAAATATTTCTTTTTAACATTAGTTATTTGTAAATATATATTTTTCTGCTTTTAAATTGTCGCCCATCTTAATCAAACAGCATCAGAATTGATCACATTTCTAATTTTCTTCATAACTCGGCTGTTGCATACCTCGTAATTTGGACATTCATTTGCGGTCCAATAAATCTTTTCACACTGAAGTGCGCAAATATGATTTCATTTGATAATTATTAACGTAATGGGAACACATTGACTTTGTATGGGAACCCTTTAAGTTTTTGATTTTTTTTTATATAATATACATATTAAAATTAATCTATGATACCTTTATATACAAACTACGAAATGATGCAAAGCCCAAGTAAACGCAAAACAAAAAAAAACAAAAAAATCAACAACTTATAATTAATTTTGTAAGCTACTTAAATGAAAATGCGAGAAAGCAAGAAAAAAAAAGAACGAAAAAGATAATTGTGAAAAACGTGATAGTTTAAACCATAAAGTTTAATATTTACTATTATTATATGAATAATTAATTATAAAGTATAAAGCAGAGAGAAAAAAAAACGTAAAAAATTTATAAACTAACGTAACAAAAAAAGTATAAAATTTTTTTAAAATTAACAAAAAAATGTTAAAAATAATTGCGTAGAAAAACTAAAACAAAAAAAAAATGAATAAAAAAACTTGAAAAAACTCAAAAATTGCTGTTTTTGCAAAATGTCGGAAAGCGGTAAATGTGTGTTATTTGAATGGAAATAACGGCAGTTTTGGCGTGCTGCTATGTTGCACGTAAATGCCGACAGATGGCGCGCCAATTCTTGGCAACATGCAAAATGTTGCCGCAACATATGCGGTCATCAAGGAACATTTGGATGAAAAGAAAAAGGAAAAGGAGGAGGCTGAGGATGAGGATGGCAGAGACTAACATGAACATAAACATAAACGTAAACTTAATAAACGCACTGCACACACACACACACACACACTCGCAAACAAATTGACCTTATGAGTAATTAACCCCTTTGAAGTTATGTGCCATTTGTCAAGCCAGCAACAAAGTGCACACAAAGGAGCAATTTATACACACTATCCTCCCCCCAATCACCGCCTCCCACAGCCACAGGCAGCACAAAGCCATTGCTATTGAGCTTACACACCTTGCTGCGCTGGGTGTCACAGATTAACGCCTTACTTGAATTATGGGCGCTGTGGCACCAAAAGCCTCGCCAGGCATTCCCCCCTTGCCCCACCCTTCGACCGGGCAGCAAACTACTCCGCAGCAAATCCGAATGAGCAACAAAAGTCGGCGCGTGGAAAAATCATGTATAAAACATAAGAGCGACAAACACGCACACACACACACACACACACACATACATGCACACACACACACGCACACACACACACACACACACACACATATACACACACACCAACGCAACACGCAAGACTGTGCACCGTAGGAGAGCAGCCTTAGCAACTCCTCTCCTCACCACGCACACCTACAACAAGCATATGTACATGGCCAGGACGAAGGCAGCGTGAGGCGTTTAAAAATTGAAAACCAATTTCGTAGCGATTTAAAGCGTTTGCTGCCGTTCGATTCGAGCAGCAGTTGCCACATCTGTGTATGGGTAAGTCCCTATGTGTGTGTGTGTGTGTGTGTGTGTGTGTGGCCCGACTCATTTTGCGACTTTTCACACTTCTGCGGGCCGCCACTTGGGCTCAGTGTTTAGATTGTGTTACCAATATTTATGGCTTAGCAGGGCAGCGCCACTGGTTGGACGATGGGCGACGACGGCGGTTTTTGGGGGGGCGCAACTTTTTGGCTGGCGTGACCTCCGACCTATAGGATCGGGACATGTCTAATCGCCTGACCCTTCGGGAGCAGCTTTTCGAATACTGAGCCATCGTAACTAAATTTAATGGGCGTTTAACCTGTGACTGCTCTTTGAACTTTTGTCCCGTTTTGCTGGCAAGATGCTCACAACCTCTGTGTGTGTGTGTGTGTGTGTGTATGTGTGAGTGTGTGAGTGTATGTGTGTGTGAGTGTATGAGTGTGTGTGTGTGTATCTGCACACGTGTCCCATGTCCATGGATATGAATATGCATAAAAACAGAGATCTCGACTCGACTCCAGTTAAGCATAAATATCTATATGTTAATGCTGATCAAAAATAGGTATACTTTATACTATACGAGTATATCCATACATATATATATTGATTATTACTACAACTCGTTGAAATTCCTACTTAAAGTTTAAAATAAATAGCTAAAAATTAAATAAAATACTAATCAATCATGTTAAAAAGGAGCAATCGTTTGCAGGCCTATTTATCGATGATAGAAAATATTTAAAAATTCTTATTTTGTGTCGTCGCATAAATTATGTATATTCTTGATCAGTATTGATGTAGCATCCTCGGGTTGCATGTCTTGAACTCTAGAGACATAGAAGACCTCAACCCAACAACGATCCTAGCATTCGCACGGGATCTGGGACTGATGGAAGAGCTATAGACTCAGAAGGGGGCACAGTAGATAGAACAGGTCGCGGTGCAACTTCCCCAATAATAATAATAATTGATCAGTATTAATAGTCGACTCGATAAGGCATTGATATAAAAATGGAAATAGACGAGTCTCTGGTGGGACGACTATATCATATAGCTGCCAATGGAACAATAGGTCGACAAATTAGTTTTAAGTTGTGGAATCAAGATAGGCGTAGACACACATCTGACCCTTTCCGATAGAGATATATTATTATTTATTATTATAACAAACTAACTCCGGTCTACAAGGCTATCTAATCTTCAGAGTGGTCAAGAGTATGGTTTTTATATAACACTGGTAATCAGTAGGCGCCCAGTCGGTGCCCCATTCAACACCCACTTGTTATGTAGCCGTCTGTGTAATTGTTGCACCCTAAAGTTCCTTTGCTAAACATGAATTTTTGTGTTCTGTGGATATAAGCCTAATTGGATGGTTGGCTTTGATTTCTGATGTAAGGTCTCACATTTGGATAATCCTTAGCATTGGCAGTATCAATGTATGAAAGAGAGAGAGAGAGAGAGAGGTGTGGCGACCACAGGACCAAAAAATTGCATAAAGGCTTAGCGCCATTATTTGCCCAGAACATAAATAACATTTTTGAGCTGCCACATTTTAATACGAACCGGTTCGCTTTGCAGCACCGCGTAATTAGTTTGGTCCGATTTCTGGTGCAAGTGTGGATAATTAGTCGTTGCGCTAAAATGCTCCTACATTATTCCAAATAATTAAATTAAATATTTCATCAATTTGTGCCGTTTACCAGAGATGCCAGCGTTTATGTGTTTGCCCAAAAGCTAATTATATTTTTGAGTTTCAACTGGCATTTTTTTGGTGATACATTTTGACTGGGTGAATTAGCGAAGCGGGCATTAAATATTAGCTGCTTTGTCTGCCAATTTTGACCTGTGCTCTTGTGTAAATCAATGTCTAAATGGATTTATTATTTTATACCATTATTGTTGATGAAAATATATGTCTATAATCGATGGGGTTGCAGCAATGCAAATGTTTTTGTTGCCAACACGAAAGTTTGAAAATGCAAAATTTAAAAAATATTTATATATTAAATTTTATATATTTAAATTTTTATATACATAAAATAAATAAATAATTGTTACTTAAATAAAGTTTTGCAGTTACTGTAGTAGTTAGTGCTACTTTTAATATTACTTATAAATGGCATCTATTATTTTTTTACTGACATTTTAAGTGTTGC